CTCCGATCGATTATCCCCGCGTCATGAATAATGCTGCTGCGTCGTGCCGTCCGTAAGAAAGCCGAAGAAAACCGACGGATGTCGCTCGATAACAAACACGAATCCTCGCTGAAATCGCTCCTCGCGGAGTCGCAATTAAGACTTAATTAAGCCGAAAGGGCGCCGGCTCTCGCGGGGAGCAACGTGCGCCTAATTCCAGGGTTGCAGCGTGCAATTTTTCCGCGAACCATTCGACTCGCTCCGTGCTCTACTTAACCGGCGATTTAATTTTCACTTCGCGTCGCAATTACGAGCTTTAGCATTGCGCATTGCAATTAAACTGCTCTCCCCGATCATCTTCACTGTCCACAAGCACGCGACGCAAGTAAATCACCGTCCCGTCATCGTCCTCGTCATCGTTATCATCGTTGCGAGCGGCTTATCATCTCTTCTATCTGCCAGATGCTCGTCTCGTCGTCAGGCGAAAATGACGAGCATCTGCCAGATAATGATGAGTTTCTAAACGCCGCGAAACGAGACGAGATCGGTTTTTTTTCCGAGTCTCAAGAGATCGTGATAGACGAGAGATACTCGATGCATGAATCGGTCAACGTTTCTTCTGCAAATTATCCTCAATAGCTCTGTGGATAAACAAGAGTTTCGCAAATATTGATAAAATGTATTTTATTTATATATAAAGAAAAATTGCCAACATCGTTGGCTTTACATCTACTTGCAAATTCTTGTTCATATCCGAACATAAAAACATAAGCTTGTGAAAATCGCGCGAATACACTTCCTCCCGGAATAATGCACATTGTTTTAATTGAAAATAAAGTTAAGCTTGTACGTGCTCCATGTATTTCGTCCTTGTGATAAAAGCTTTAAGGCAACGTTAATCGGAAATGATATAGCGAAAAGTGGTGCCATTAAATTTTTATTTTTTTAGGCAAGTCCCGCTTTCGCCATGCCCTAATTATGGTGAGACGGACAAGTTTTATATTTGTTGCGATGCAATACGCTGTGCATCGATGCATGGATCAGATTTCACGATTATGCGCGATTAGTCTGCAATATTCATGTAATAGTGAAAACGCGAACCAAATTCCGAGGACGTTAATGCTGATATAAAAGCCCACTTGGCGCGAAAATTATATCCCACCGAAGTGAAATTGATAGCTATCTTGCACCGACGACAAACTTGGAAATCACATCGGCCGACATAATAATTTCCCAACAGAAAGAAATTCCGCCGGTGAACCGATGTAACTAGAGAAAGGCTATTAATCGAGAACGTACTCTTTTGAACCATAAATTGATTATAATAGTATTGTGATTTCAATTACGTGATTTATCGCACCACATTAGACCGCATAACGTTTCGCATTCAACGTCATTCCCATTGCAATAGGCGAGCTAGTTCCGAAAAGACAGCGTCGCTTTTCATTCAGATTTTCACCGGCGACGTCGTTTTTCATTCAAATTTTCATCCGCCACGTCGCATTTTATTCAGATTTTCACCGAGAACCCCATTTTCACAAAGACAAGGAGGAAAAAAGCGTCATCAAAGAGAGACTCAGTTCAAAATTTGTTCTTTCTTCTGTTCTGCTTTAGCAGGTATCTCGAACAAATGTAGATTTTTTTTTTTTACAATTCGGCATGATTCTTAATTTCGTTCGGGCGGAAGGCGCTTTCTCTAGCGATAACGAAGAGGCTCCGGTCGTTCGTGGCGTCCGACAGTTCGCCGTTGTTACTCGGATGGATGCACTTCCTCATCGACACACACGCGAAAGCGAGTACTCGGGAATATCGTGTCCGACGAGTCGTAATATCGGCAAGAAGCGGCGTAGCGGGCGATTCGCATTCCTGGACGAGCGCAACGCTCTCAGCCTTTCAGCGCACGGCGGGAAAAGTGCTAAGCTTAAACTTTCTAAGCGTTTCACGTCGCGTCATATCGCGGTTCTCGTTCGACCGAGGCGCAAAAGGAGAGAAATATATTACGGCTCTTCGGGACGAGGGAGAGGCCATAAAACCGAGTCCATCATCGCCCAATGACGCCGATAAAACCTCCCTCGAGGTTTATTTATGCGATTGTAGCTGGCCGTTAATGCATGGAATTAGAACTTTACACAGTCCAGGTCGCTGCTCACCTGAGTCTTTACTACCGCCCGTCGCAATCGCCCGAGTCGGTCGTGCAATTTTTCCTTTCTACATTCAAGTATTATCGAAATGCTCAAGTTCTGAAAAGATATTATGGGAAATCCACATTCTTAATTAATGTCGTAATTTAAAATCAAATTAAGAAACATGTTATTCCATTTCTTCTTCGAGTTCTAAAATCAATCAAAGTGGGTGAAATATTATTCAGGATTTATCACGTCATTTGAATACAAATGAGCTATCTTTGAATGTTGGAATAATAATCTGTTGTTTAATCTAAAATTAAAATAAGAGTATGAGTCGTTGTTTAATAACACTGATTTTATCTCTGATATTATTTCCGGGTTTTCCCTTGAAAAGTACGGAGTCCCATTAATTGCGCCATCGCAATTGCGATGGCTACCAGTGGGATACGTCAGTCACGGGCTTCTATATTATACAGTAGATCGCTAGCATGCTATGATTTCTTAGGTAGAAAATTTCTTCTGTAGAATGAGGTATACCACTGCTGGCATTATGCGAATTGCTATTTGCACTACAGGAAGTCATGAATAGGCAGAGTATAATAAGGATGCAGTAAACGAACGCGAGAATACTTTCACAAATAAATCGCTTCGGTAGCTTCACATACATATACGATTTTCATATATAATTATATTTATTACTATTCTTATGTTATATTCTTCTTGGTGAAAAATTTTCTATTGCAATAAATTTGATTAGAAATAAACAATGTAGATTAGGAGATAACGCATGTTATTTATATTGCAACAATTACGTCAGATTTTCTAATTGATTGTAACCTTGATAATATTCACACATTTTGCATTCCTTTCTTAATATTTTCAGAATTAAATGCATTTTGTGCGCGCTGAAGAGAGAAGGCGATAAGCTGGTTAACGTTGCATCGATGCAATACATGTATGGTTTGTTTTTAATTAGTATATACCGCAAATACATTAAACGGTTTCACTGCTTGCTTGCTTGTAAAATTATTCAATTCCGATTGAGGGATCGCTACGTTAGTAGTTGCGGAACGCAACAAGTGAAAAGATTCGGTAAAATCGGACACGCGAGCACGCGTGCGCTTTCCAATAGAACAACACAATTGTTACCGTGTGTTCATTAATACATTTATTGATGTAGCTCGATAAAAACAAAATGTATACACAAGCGCGCCGTAGTGAATTGCCGCTGAAGTGGCTTCGAACAGCGAGGAATATCGAAATGTGTTGGTACAAAGATACTCTATTCACAAATTTGGAAATTTGTGTAAAAATTCTGGTTATATTTTTTTTTCGCTAACAATTTCGAGAGATTGTAGACTCGTGTTGTTGCGCGATGGGATTTCAGTGCCGTTATAACCGCGACTCGCTTTCTATCAAAAGTAGGTGTAAGATGAACATCGCGCGCGCGACGTCCAAATTGTCATGCAAATATTGGGCCACGCACACGATCCAACACTATTTGCCTTTTACACACGGTCGGCCGTTCGCGGTCAACTGCAAGTACCGTTGCTTCGTTGTCCGGGAATTCTGATACACACATGCATGGCCAACTCGTAACCGTGGATTACATACCGTACGCCCGCGCATCCGTAAACACAAACGGCAATAATTCTTACGATTATTTTTACGATCCTTACGAAAAGAGCGGTCAAACGCCCGAAGCCGTTATCCTGCGACCGCGTTCGATATTCATGTCTGAGGGCGAACTCGTTTTTTTTACAGACTTTCAGAAATAAAATATCGAGTTTATATAGTGTGACATGCAATATATAACGTGGCGTCGCAAAACGGCAAAATAATTTAAAAGAAATGCGTAAAGTAAATTTTAAAGTATTACTTTCCATAAAAAATAGAAAATAATCAAAAAATTCCAAAAGAAATATTTTAAAAATATTAATTTCATATTGCAGAGATTTTACTCTTAACATTGCGGTCATTCGCTTGTATTCCGTTAAGTTTGATCTTTGTCTTTTGCGGAGTTGACGTCTCAGCGCACTTTAACGGTGTAAGTCCAGTGTGGAAATATTATATCATATAAATAATGAGAGTTTAAATATCTAAATGATTTGTCAAGTGGTTATCTAAATGAACTTTTTATTGACATTAATTTAACGCACACACTAATTTATTTTCCGTACAAAAATTATACTTTCCAATTTTCATAGATCTTATTTTTCTGATTTTTAAAGATTCAGATTTCATAAGTTTACGTGAAACTGATCGAAGAATATGATTTTTTCACAACTGTTATATGAAAGCTATAGATTTCGCGACATTTTTATTGAACGAAAAATTCGATAGGCCATGTGCAGTAAAAAATAACATCTAGTTTGTTTGGCATACATGGTCGCTTTTACAAAACACAACTCCAGCACATAGCAAACCTCGCGACGCATTTACCTGCCGTTATTTCTCCACGTGCGGAATCGAAGGAAAAAAAAGTCCGTTAATTTTGTAGCGTGGCGCACACGCCAGCGAGGATAATTATTCGGCATACATTAGTCATACAAAGAGCTCGACTGAAGATCGCGCCTAAAATGCTCCGTTGCCCCTCGGCAAGATCATGATTCAGCTCCCCCCCTCCTGATCGTTAACTGCGCAGATACGATACGGCCGTTAGCGGGCCGATGATCGACGATGCGATCGGCGGGTAATGAGGTACCAAGTTGCATTAATTATCGAACGATAATCACTGACGTAACAATACAGTGTTACTTGAACGCAGCATCGCTTTAGTTTGCCGGTGTTCCGCGAACATTCGATAATGAATCTCTTGAGAAATTGAAGCCAGCGGAACATTAATACGACTCGAATGACGGCGGTGTTTCTCTCTGGGCGCAAGAGGTAAACACGGACGTACTTGAAAATGCCATTTGATATTTTCTTAAGCTCTTAAGACCCGCTAAATCCGTTGAAATTTGTTTACGCAATTAACCGCCATATTCAAATAGGTTTCTACGCGATTTACATTTGTTGTTTGTTCGTTTGTGCTGATTCGTTAATTAATTTAATTTCCCGAACCTCCGGCGCGGAAATTCCGGCGTTAAAGGATTAAATAATTAACGAACGTTAATTGCGTGTTCAAACTACGCTGAAGGCTGCGCGAAAGCCAGGACGTGTGCTCGATAAGCTTTAATTTGCTGAAAAACAAAAAGTGCTTGTGTGCGTGAACTCGGCCGCTTCGCCGTCAAGCGCCGCCGTTAGAAGAGACAAAGAAACGTGTACGCGCGTTCGTTTGGCATGCAAGAAGCAAGTCGATGAACACACCTGAAGGAATGCAGCGATTACCTGAGTAATAGCCCGGCTGATGAGAACACGCGGCCGCTTACTTTTATTTCCGATATAACGGGTGAACGTGCTGCAGCAGCTGTGCGGTGAGTTCGCATGCCCACTTGATCGCGTTCGTTCGTGTATGCGTCTGCCTGCGTGTGCGCGTATATATATCAGTATATATGAGCGATACACGAAAGGATGATCGTTCCAACCGCGGATAGTTGCATACTGTCTCCCCGTGGGAGATTTCCCCTCCCCGCGCCATCGCGCGCGCATGTAACTTGCAACATTCCAACTGGCACACGTCTCACGACGAGCGCACCGGCGATTAATTGAGATGACAGAGCCGCTTATTAGCATGGCGTTGCAATATGCGGTCGCTTCTCTCTGCATGCGGCGCAAGTCAATATTCTCCTTTCGAATCCAGTCACAAACTCATTTTCGGCACGATTAATGTCAATCTCGTTGTTAACCCTCGTTCTTTTCTTCTATCAGTATTGTTTATCGCAGAGAGAAAGGGAGAAGGCTTAATATTAAGGCAAAATGTTTTATTGGCCGACTCTAAAAATATGAATCGTACTTTGTGTAATTCGAGCCGACGTGAATATAATTGTAGCTTTCGATCAATCATTTTCGATTATTTTCGGTAAAATTGCGTGCTCATATTTGAGATATGTGATCCGTTTAATATAAAATTCAATTGGATTGCTAATTAGAGTATAATAGCTTATTATTCCAGCGGCTCGTAATTAGAATAATCAGCTTAATTCTCGTCTTGGGAATAGAGGGACAAATGTCACACCTGTACTCAGACACACCAGACCGTGTATCCAGTTCCAAGTCGAGAAATCATTAACGAAATAATTACGTGAATGTCTCGTCGTCGCAAATGAGTACAAGGATATCGCTTCACATTTATTTCTAATACTCTTCCATCCAGCTGAGAAAACGCTAATCTGCAAATACCTCTGAATAAATGATAAGTAGAAAAGCATGCGTGTCTACTTGTACAGAAGAGAAACGAACATGCTTCATGAAAAAATAGAAATTAAATAAAAAATGAACGAAACTTGCAATTATTACTAATACTTCGAACAAGAATCTTAACAAGAATACGTATCTTAATCCAAGCAATATCGCACAATCATAGATTAATAGAAGTGAGCGGCAGCTCGGCTTCTTATGAGTATTCCATATGAAATCTTATCTTCGTATTTCATAATTGTAGCAATGCTGCGCTATTAAGCAGTAGATTTGATTCACAATATTACATTTTTTACATTAAGCATTATTTATTTTTAATTAAATTCATTTACTTTTAATATTTTTGCAAAGTAGAATACATTAAAAGTAAACAACTTTAATTAAAAATAAGCAATTTTTAAAGACGACTTTAATACAATTTTGTAATATTTTTGTTGAAAGTCTTAGAAAGTATTATTTTGCATAAAAGAGTGACGGTAGAGAACTCTTTAAATATAAATGATTCCTCCAATATAAATGACTCCTGCAAACATGAGCTAAAATCGATTTTCTCCGAAACGAAATCTCGTATAATTTAAACATATGACATTTTACTACATCTCGTACAATAAAAAATCTCATCGCGATGAAATAAACGTAATAATTGATGTCACAAGAGCAGCGTTTCAGTCGACAAATCTGGCACGAAGAAATTAATCATTCGGACATTTATGATGAAAGATAATAAACTCAAGCTTATCGCAGGTGCGACGTTTTAGCTGACGCTTGCATTCCAGAGAAAGTTAACCGCGATAACATGACCCGGGTGGAAGAGAGAAACGCGCCGCGTACGCACGCATTAAATGCTCGCGCGTGACCGCAGGTGTACGCGTTCGCGCGAATATAAATGTCGCAGCCTCTGCGCGCGGATCGCGCTGAAACATATTAATTTCAGCGGCGCAGCCTTCGCTCGTCGCTCTCGGATGACAAACGCTAATTTATCACGTGCGTGCGAGTGATTCGTTACGACCCATGAAAATCTCGCTTCGCGATCGAAATCCGTGGAACTGAGACTCCGATTCATGCGGGAGAGCGCGCGCGTTGTCACTTCCGACTATTTTTCAACAAAGTTGCGACGCGCTCTCGCCGCGTGACGAATGCGGAAAATCGCGCTTCAGTAAACTAGCTCGGAAGAAAGTATCGCAAGAAATTGAACGGTTTTTTGTGTACGCACATTTCGAGCCAGGCTGACTTTTCGTTAATGCAAAGTTATGACGCTTTCTACGTCGTTTCCGCGCGCGTTTCTACCGTTTTGTGCATGCGGATGGCATGTGAGAATGATCGCGTAAATAACCATATGTGTGGAGGCGGATCTACCGCTAATGTACGCTAATGAAGCGTAAGCTGCGCAGCTCCAAGGTACACAAACCCCTAAGGTATACGGAAAAGAAGAATGATGTTGCACCAACAACATCAGTTCAACAGAAATGAATCTTGTTAATGCAACAACAGTATTAGCTCAAAAAAGAACGCGCCGCGCTTGATTAACACTGTTGTGGAATTGACAAGACTCTTTTTAAATAAATAAGCATCAGACATAACTTTTTTCATGTGTGCGAAAAGCCTCTCAGGCTGCGAATACGTATTATTACATTTCTTGAACTGTCCTATCTTTGCAATTGCATGAATATAAAATATTATGTTTAAAACTTTTTAAAATATTTTATACATATTTATTCAAATCTATAAATATTCATAAATTCATTAAATGGACACTTATAAACCAATATAATAAGTATTGATCGAATATTAGCTTGGAGCTCTCGAAGATGGAGATCCGCCATCGCGTATGTGTGATTTCTTATTCTGAAATAAATGCAAGTCTTTTTTTTTCCTAGTTACGGACGAAGAAATTCCATCGTGAAGAACGCATGTATTAATATAAAGTACTGGTTATCAACCAAGATGCTGCCTTGTATGCGGAGAGCACGGCAATATCATGAAATATTTCTACTTTCTGCATCTTATCTTTATTCAGGCAGCTTTAGAATGCGAACAAATGAAACATAAATAGTAACGTTTCTTTTTCATTTCGCCGGAGGGGACTTGGGGAGTACCAGAAATGTGGAAACGCATGCGAGAAAAGCTTCTTGAGAACGCTATGCCGTGCAATATGCGCGAGGCAAACATCGGTTTCACGTCCCGGCGTATCTCTTTTAGCGCATACATATATTTATGTCTGAGATGCATCGGACAATGCTCTTCGAGGAATGCATCTACCCTTCCGCGTGCGCGAACCGACATTTACGTACCGAGAGAGGGACGGAGGGGACGCCCCCCGTCCTCCCCGCGAGAGAAACTCGTCAACAAATCGCACGTCGCAGCCGTCTCGCTCGCGAGCCGTGCATTTCAATGAAGTCCGTCTTTTGCGGATGCTTGCCATCACTCGCGCGCCTTAATCGCTTGATTCACGATGTGTGCCGCGCTCAAGACGGTTCGACGATCTTTATTATCAACAACGGGCGAGAAAGCGCGCGCGCTCCCCGCGACGAGGCGTTTCGCACGCGCTGCGGGGAGAAATGTCCCACACCGCGTGCGACCTGAAATACGCCCGGTCGTTTAATCGATTCGGCACATTAGCGGTACACGGTTCCGCCGCTATTAAATCAGCCGAGCGAGGGAGAACGAGCGCGCGCGATTTTCACCGATCACGTGAAATCGCCGAATTTCCGTCGCGCGTCCATGCGGCCGAGGTTCCCTCCGGCTAGTTGGTTTCCCGGCGGAAGGGCGATCGCGGAAAATCGGTAGTCGACCTGGTACGCGGCCGAACCTAGATACGGTTTAGAAAGGCAAGTGATTCCTCCGAGCAAAAGCGACTCCGCCCCGCTCGCCGTTCACTTTTCACGAGGGATCCGATTCCTTGGCTGCACTTCTCGGCCTCTCCTTGATTCTTTCGTCTACCGGGCCTTTTACTTGTTGAAACGAGAATTTAAATTTCTCACGAGTCACATCTACACGTTTCTACACGACGCGAAAATGTTGTAAATATTTCTCGATTTCCTTAAAATATCTATGATTTTGTCTTAATTTTCTATGGAATTCGGGATTCATAGAATGATTTTTGTTTGCGCTTTATGAATATATTCCAGGAGTGTTCTAATATTTTCTCCTTTTCTCTGCGAAGATATTCATAAATATATATATATAGAATACGTTATTGAATATATAACACACACAGTTGAATGGTGAGGAAAATTTTAAAGCTTTTCACCGCAGCCGCGAACATTTCATCCGTAATAATTTTTATTTCATGTTAAAAATACAGAAAGTAGTATTTTAAATCTAATGTAGAACATCCATTAACCCTCGGGCCACCAAAATATTCTGATAACTCGGGCATTAAAACCAGGTCAAATCTGAATCTATGCAAAAAACATTTTTTTTTGCCACGGAATATGTAATATTTTCAGACAGAGAAAAATATGAATATTTATCATCTTTACGAATTTTCCATTTATTAAGAAAAAGCGCGAATGTATGTACGTTGCAAAAAAAAAAAAAAAGAGAGAGAGACAAGGATAAAAGTCGTACATCTCTCGGATGTTTTCACACTGCGGTGATATACCGGAGCTTAATTAAAAATGAATCCGGTACACAACGATTAACGATCTGTTTTATTTTGCAGACCTAGGACAGGCGCCACAACCGGTCACAATGGATGTTGAAACCGGGGCCGTTTTGGCCCTGCAGATATTGGCACTGTGCTCGAATAGTCGCAGCCCTGTTGGCCTATCTGATGCGACAATCCAGAAATGCCACCGACGAGTACGAGTCGCGTAACAAACGTCATGTACTCGTTACCAGCTGTGATACATGCGTAGGCTTGCAGATCGCCCTTGCACTCTACGAAGCCGGCTACAAGGTAATAACGGTGGCCGCGTGGCTGTCATAAATTATCGGGCGGCATAAACTTCACCATACGCTCTCGCCCCGTTGTGCCCGGGCCGCCGATATTCTCCGCGGTCGGTGAATATTCAAAATTGAACGAGAGCCGCGCTGCGAAGGCCGAATGTGAAGTAACGGCTCGCCGCTTTATTGCGTGGGAACTGTGTTGAATTATTTTTTTTTTTATTGCCGACGGACGACAACATTGGAAACGTGAATAACGACCTGACAAGTATTATATTATCGTAGTCAAGTGTGACTTCTTCTTGCATCTCTCGCGAGCGATAGTTAACGCTGTTAACTGGGTCAATGCGATTATCCGCAGTATTATTTAATCAGATTATTCATTCTTCTTTTTTTTTTTTTATTCGCAATTCGCTCACTCTGCCAAGAAAAGATTCTTATCATTGTTCGGGAATTAATCTTTATCCTCTCGTTCGCAAGATAAGAAATTAGTTTCGCAAATAGCCGTTTGGCATTCGGCCACGCGGGTATTAAAGTGGATAAGCGCCAGAGAGATGTCTTCGCGCGTCCGTTCTCTTTCTGCGGTTTTGCGGAATCTCTTTAACCGCGGCAGTCTTTACGGCCGGAGTTGTGAGCAGCAGCGCGCGAATGCGACGACAACCGTTGAAACGCAATATCCCGCGGCCTTACGTCAGAATCCCTATTATCCCTTCGAGCGTGCAACATATTTCAGATTGTCGGAGTCCGGGCTCCAAATTAGTTTCCTCGTGTCAAGGGAGCGGAACATCGGTGAGCCCTTAAATCAGTCCTGCCGACAGTTTCCCGACAGGTATTCACGTATCACGGCGAGTATATCGTGTCACCACTCAAGAGCGCAGCGCCGCCAAAGATTGCTATTGAAAGATAGATACTTGCCGAACAGACCGATTCCGCCTGGACAATAACTTATCAAGCGTTATCCACGTCACGGATCTCGTGAAAGCTCGAATCAAATAGCAATATTACGTCTTCTATTAGTTCTCCGGAAGAATAATACACGTGCAACGCAATAATAACTATTCTTTGTCGTCCGTGAATAGTGTATTCTCGAAAATGTCAATTTAATACAATCGTTCTCTAAAATTTATCAATTAAATCAGTTTCATCGTTTGACAATGCATTACGCTTTTGAACTTTTGAACATGTATTCAACATTGGACTAGTGTCTTCATTAATTCATTGACGATTCATAGATAATCAGCTTATTGAAAATTTGCTTATTCCCTTTAGCAAGTATTTTAATTAGGATCAAGCGATGAAATTTTCACGTACAAAGGGACAATTAATGTGGGTCACCTGCGCGTGTGGATTCCATTGTAGTTCGATTGTTCCGCGTATCTGAAATTCAAGCTTTGGATTACCTATTACCTTTTATGCACCAAGAGCCGCACGTATCAAAGGACCGCCATTGATTTGCATGAAACCGTCAAAACGGTTTAACTGACCTTAATGATTAATAACTCAAAGGAAGATTAAGCAAATACGGCAGGAAACTCACAAAAATGTCACGTACAATATATAACATTGAATAATTTCCAGCGGATGGACAAAATAGATAGAGCACGCTTCAATCAATTTACAATTTTTAAATAAAATTCCAAATTAATTCAATGATAAACAAGCCCAATAACAATAATTTATTCCTGAAAGGTTTGCTTCACATTCAATATTTGCTTTCAATCGTTTCATATCAAATATATTTTCTCCAATTTTCACGCAACATAAATTTCATTCTAATTAGTCGAAATTGCATTTAGCAACAATTATTAGAACTTTCATCGAAATCGATCATAAAATTTTTCTCGACATTAAAGGCAGTGCGCAACTTGCTCAACAAATTTCAAGCTTTTTTCATTTCTCGTATTTAAGATCCAGTTCATCGGTCGCGAATGAGCTCGTGTGTCATTTAACATGACGTATCAGCGTCAAAGCATAACGCGATATCGAGCGGTGTCGATATGGCGCGTAATGGAGTGGCACGTGGAGAGAGCGTGGGTTTGCGGCGGCGGCGGCGACGGCGGCGAGCTTTCAAAACATAACGTGTAACACGTCGCGCGTTCCCTTCTTGCGACAGGTGTTCGCGGGTCTGCTGGACCCGGCAGGCGGCTCGCCGTCGGTCAAAATCCTGAAGGCGGTCGAGCTGGAGCGGCAGAAAGAGAGCGAGCCCGGCGGTACGGACGACGGTGATTCGCAGCAGCCGGAAGTTGCGCGTGCCCGCGGCCAAATCGTGCCATTGGAGCTGGACCCGACGAGGGAGGATAGTTTGCGCGCCTGTCTGGACGCCGTCAGAGCAAAGCTTCCGGCCGGCGAGGATGGCAAGACGATTTATGTTTCCCTCCCTCCCTTCCGGGTTTCTTCGGCTAATCGTTGAATAAAGTTAACCGGGAGATAAGCGCGTCTGTAGACCCGCCGTGCCGGCAAGATAAATATTGAACTTCGCGACAGCTAACTTGAGGAGAGAATTGCGCGGAGAACAAATGGTTGTGAATTTTAATACACGAGACACGCTGATAATGAGATATTAATCGAAATTAACGTTTATTATCTCGACGGGATGTTACTGCACAGTAAGCCTATTTAGTGTGCGAGTCTTTCGTAATGTGCGAATTTTGTATTTATCTCTTGGAGTGTATCAACCGAAGAAATCAGGTGTCATACGTCGAGCGAGGTGGACTGGAAAACGAGTTTTCGGACGGGCGAAAGTTCTTTTCGATGTCACGTCTGCGAAACGGCTCTAACTACTCCCTCGTGTCAAAGAGATATTAGTCAACGTCGACCTGCTACGTGAATGATTCCCTTACGTGTAATCTACGTAGAAAGTACATCGTCTATATAAATAATGCTTTTAATAGCTATGCTTTCTCCTCTGCATTTGCCTCAGTTTATAATTATTTCCTTGATGATGTTACGGATGTGCCGGACGGTTATGTATAAAAGTTATTCTCGTATTAGTCGCGATATCAGTGATATATATTTTATGCGTATTCCAATTGTTCAAACGTTTCCTATTAATAATATTCTTCTATTAATAATTATCTCAAATTCTGTCGCGTATTATAAATCGTATGAAGCAAGCTTGATTTTACGCAAAATAATTTCATACCTATGCTTGGTTAAACAATACAGCAGTACAAAATACTTCATTCATTATGTAAATGTGTTTTCGTAATTTCAGTTCGCGTGAGAAATCGATGTTTAATATTACGCCAACATTTTACTTAAGAACACTATACGGATTTCATTCATATAGCACAAATAAGTTTATTAATATTATCTTATTTATCAATATTCCACTGATTAATTAAATTTAAAATAAATTATTTGTTTTAAATTAAAAAGTAAAAAAAAAATGAGTTACAATGTGAAAACATTGCTCGTGAAAAATGGAATTTGTATTTCTCATAATTGTTATTCTCATAATTGAGAGAAACATCGGATCTACGTTTTTTTATTTGTATCATCTAAAAATATGATTTTTGTGACTGTTGTTTTGTTAGTATTTTTATCCAATTTTGCTTTGTTTAATTATCCGCACGAATATATCGTAATAACTAGACACATGCGGATCAAGAAAATTATTTTTCCATCTTGAATATAAGGCATTATGTAAGTTGTAACGAGCATCAATTATTAATGTTCTCGAACAACTCCGATATTTATCCGGCCATGTTTAAAGTCGCAAGTTTCTCTGCATTTAATTTCACTTTTATGCGTGACTTCATTAGTTCTATTGTCAGCTATCCGCGTAAAGCATCGATGAACTCTGAGAAATTCATCCCGCAGTTCAACTAATTGTAAATTTGATATTGAGCGGAGAATGTTTTAGGTACAGAATCAATGCCCGTTTTCATAATAATTCAAGCAGCTTGTTAGGTTCAATATAAAGTGCCTCGGGGCTTTATCGACATCGACTGAATAAATGTTGGTAAGGTTATCACGTGTAAGAGGAGAAAGTAGGTGAAATGAGTAAGTATTGAGTAAGATTTGCAAAAAAAATATTTAAGAATACAGACGTGGGGAATTTTAAATGAACTCGAGAGTTTAGTGAATTTTTAACTTTTTAACAATCTCAATAAGTTTATTATTTGATGTTAAAAAATATAGTAACAGTAAAAGGCTAATAATAGCCGAAATACCATTATTAATACGCCGGGATGCAAAAGAGATTACAAATCAACGCAGAATAATGCTACAGAAACGTTTCAATCTAATTTTCTATCTCTTTTCAGTCCGGTAGGATTGTGACCAGTAATTGTGATCACGTGCAAACACCGTGCGGCAGTGACCTAACAGGACTCGATGTTTACGAGTGATCACAATTACCGGTTACAACTCTCCCGGACTGAAGAGGGCCTAAAAATTGGGCTGAAACGTTCTGCAGCATTATTCCGTATCGATTTATAACATCTTTTGCGTCACCCGCGTTTTGGTTCTTATAGCTTTTTTTTCATTACAACATGTCACACTAATATTAATACATTAATGTATTTTAAATAAAAAATTTTAGAACTTGAAATAATTTTATTGAAAGCAAACTCGGAGTTTGATCGAAATATTAGTATTTTTGAAAAATGTTTGATTTGAAATAATATTTATTAGCACTAATAATCACATTTTTTATTCTTTTTCATTAGCTTTCGTAAAATTTTCTTGATTTTTTATCAGCTTTTAGACGAGCATTTGCATTCATATACATATTTGTCATAACGCACTCTCGCAAGAAAAGTGACACAAGTTGAAATTTGTTCGAATTTTGTATTATGTGCGGATTGTGTTGTAAATACATCGGCCTTCAATGACAAGCAATTTCTCCTGAACAATTTTATATTTCTCGCTTGTGTCATTTTTCTTGCGGGGGTGCGATAAATGATATGTATCTCACATGATATTCATATATAACACAACGGAAGTTTGGGTAATGGGAAAACACGAAAAAATAACATATCTCCATCACGTAGAATAAATAAGCACAGACGTCATATTCGTAGGTCTCCGCTATTCGTTATGTCCGCGAGTTTGTCGACGGCGAACGCGTTCGTCGCGAAAAATGAGGAGGCGCCGAATATATTATATTTACGCGACGTTGACACAGCTCCTACGTGGAAGTGCAGTGTCATTTTGTAAATCATACTTCTGGATTGGAAATGCAATTTCAGGCGCTCGATATCAACCGTAATTATAGCGATTCCGCGCGGCATTTACTCGCGATCGCCCGTCACTCGCCGGCGCATAATGTTCCCATCAGCGCGAAACCGATACGACGAAATGGCCAAGTTTAGTAAAATAAACTTCCACCTACCTCGTTCCGCGCGCCTCGTCGGAGACGATCGCTTTAAGTATGCCCAAGTACTGAACTTTACTTAATTGCAGGTCTCTGGGCAGTCGTGCACACGGGCGGCTTGGTTTTGCCGGGTGTCATAGAGAAGCAGACCAGCTCGATGTGGGAATCTATGCTGCGCCATAACTTGGTCGCCCCGTTGAGAACAGCCAGAGTATTCATCCCTCTCCTGCGCATTAAGAGAGGTTCGTTGAATGTATTTATCGAAATCTTCAAGTTAAAGAAGCCATTGTCCGCCGCTACTCAAAAGTTCCCCATTTTGCGCGAAGAGAGATAATTGCTTTTCGACTAACGAGAAAAATTTTGAGATTGCACCGCGAATGTCGATTAAGATCTTTTAATTAACGTAAAAAGCTAAAATTTTTGCTGTAAAAATTGTACTTTGATTCTTCTGATAAAAATTTCTTACACTCTAATATACTTAAATTTATAAAAAATAACGCGTCATATAGTATGTGTTACTTTTTCTGACTACTTTTTGTTAATTAGAAGAATTAAAATTATAATTTTATTAATGTCAATAATCATGTCATTATTAAAATCTTACACTATTGCAATTCACTTTTGAAGACACAAAGATTAGAAAAGTAGAAATTCTTGCTATAAAATTTATATTTTAATTGTTCTAAAAAGCTTCCTATAATCTAATATATTTCAGAAATAACATATCGCACATTAACAATCAAATTGCTGTTAAAGTATATGCTTTATTACAATCCACTTTTGAAAGCACACAAACTAGAAAAATATTTAATCAACTTTGATAAATATTGTCAAGATTTTGAAAGAAAACAATTTCTGAATAATAATCTATAATAAAGAATGGAAAAGTCCACATCGAGTTATGTAAAAGTCGAGATTTCTCCGCCGGAGACTGGGTTAATGAGAAATTCGTTCGCTTCCCGCGAAAGAATGAGTTGCTCCTTTAAAAGCCACGGTAATGCACAATGGCATGTTTGTGGCGTGGTCGCGCACAAAGTAAAACAACGGCAGGACTGATAATTCACTGGTAGTGAAACCGCATTCATTCTTTAAGCGGCTTATTGAAAATGTCTTGTTTCCTCTGAAGGCCGCATCGTCCTTTTGGGCGACGCCGAGACGAGCTACGGCAGCCAGGCGGGCTCCGGACTGGTGGCGTTCAGCGCATCCCGCAAAGCCGTGGAGGGTGCCGCCGAGGCGTTAAAAAGCGAATTACATTCCTCGGGCGTCGACGTCGTGCTACTCAAACCGCCGCCAGTGAATCCCTTCGTTCTTTATGCATCGCCCGTTCTCAAGACGTAAGACCCCCGCCGAGTATCAGTTTATGACGGCTTGCTTCCGCGGGCTAACAAAGACGTTAAGTCGGTTACTGGCTGGCAGGCAGGCAGGCAGGCAGGCAGGGTGGCAGGCAGGCGGGCGGGCGGGCGGGCGAGCGGGGCTCGCCGGGCATCGCGTCCGATTACTGCCGAAAGTTTCACGAGCTGCTTTCGCGGTTTCGAAACTCGCTCTCTCGTGCAATTCTCGTTCGGTAATTCCGATTTTACAGAGATCGAATCGTTATTCCGCATTCAGAGCCGTGTTCAAAGCCATTGTTCGTCAATTATTTGTTTTTGAAACGCGATAATTGAGAATATCGTTGATCAGTTTCCATTATTAATCAAATTTTGACAAATGAGGGAAAATGTTAATTTTGTCTATGGACAACTAGAGCTATAACCATCGCGTCAGAGAGCGTTGAATATTTCAGGGCTTTTAAAGCCTCGTCCGCCTGCTACGCATATGCATCGCCGTTCACAATGAAAACTTGGTTGTTACAAAAAGTGTTTAATTATTTGCAGAAATGACGTGGAGTCGGGCGTAACGGCTTCGGAGGGGACGTGGACCGCCCCGTTGTCGATTCACTCCGTGCAGAACACTCTGATTCCTGCGATCGCAACGTCGTGCCCGCTAAACGTTTACGACATGTCCGTCAAGCCAAGAATCTTCTGTCGATAATCTCGTTCGGCTGAACGGAAGAAGATCGCAAGATTGTAATAACATCGTGTACTGTTCGACTGATGCGCGCGCGTTTATGCAATACGCGGGAACAATGGGGGCATGGAAAATATGATACACGCGTGTCTTTCTGTGGTGTCATTTACGCGCTGACACGTCATTCCGCGTGCCCTAAAGCGTCGTGAGCAGCGTTCTTTTTTTCTGTTTGGCGGCAGGCAACGAGTTTTCTGCGTATGAATGTTGCGTGTCATTCTTTCACACTTGTTCCGAGCGGTATCAATTTTGCATTCTCGCTTTTGTATCGCATCCATTTTGCATTGCATCCACATTTCGTATTGATTCGAGATGTTTAATAAAACAACCAATAATCTTCACCACTCGCAAAATAAGTCGCATTATAGACGACTCTTAATTTTTCGCTCCTTTCATCTCCTTTTCCTTCAAAGTTGTAATGCGATTTATATTGTAAAAATAAAATTCTCCCATAAATAACCGTTATACCCTCGTATATTTTGAAACTACGTATTGATGCGCTTATCTTCGACTGAAATGTTTTCATATTTGATTGCGTTGTAATTTTGCGAAATTTAAGAAAAGTAGAAATGCAAAATGTCTCGGACAAAACCTTTTGGCGTATAATGTACATTTTTCTCGATTTTTATATGTATAAATGCTTAAGGATATAAGTTGTATAATTTTAAGAAACAAACACATATGTAAAGAAGAAATTTGTGTTTAACATTAATACGTTATGTTTGAGGTCTCTTTTTAAAGTATTTTTTACATTTTAAGTATACTTTATAACTAGCATTAACATAAAAATTTATTTTGCATCATAAAAGATTCTTCCAACTCTTTTAATATGAAATACTTTGTCCTCAAAAGACACTTGCTGTGGACACAGAGCGTATATATATCTTAATTTATGGATTCAGTTTATCGACTACTTCGTGTTTTTACACTGCCAAATGAGTTAAAATTGTACAAAGTATGTCTGTAACATTTCTTCGCATCTTTAAATGCGACAAAATTACAAATGTTTTGTTTCTGAACTGTGCTTATAGAATTATAAATGTATCCGCATAAAAGAAATATGTATTTGTAAAGTATAATTAAAATTCAAAAGTTTTGAAAATAAATTTATTTCTTAGGTAAAAATAATTCTGTTTAATAAGAGCGTAATTAACATATACGAATGCTATGGTTATATTAAGATAAAATAAAGACTAATGAGTGTGCAATATGCTGTTGCGTGCAATCGCATGTAACATTAATAACATTTATGTATATAAAAATATGTGTATAAAGTAATATGAAAAGGTTTATAGCGATGCTTTATTATCCAATTTATCGTTTAGCTGGTAATAGGAACATTTGAAACTCGGTTGTAATTCGTGTTTGTACTGCTTTCTGCATAAAAATAACAATTTTAAGTACGTGGCTTTTAGCATGCTTTTAGTATAAAACTTATGACTCTCCCCGAGATAAATATACAAGAAATGTGAGCTGCTGCTTCACTCGAAATTACGTTCGTTACCTATAGCTTAAAAAGTAAAATACATGACAAAATTTAAGCCAGTACGATCTGTATAGTTGTGGCTAGAGAATATTCTAAACGTGCGTGTGCACTTTTGTCAAATGATTATATTTTTGTCATTACACAGAAAGAATATTTTACGCGAACACTCGATACTCTTTGTATCTTTGATGTGCGTAATTTTCATAACTTCGACCGTTATTATGTACAGAAAATGAGACGATTCATTGGAACGAAATATTCTCTCATATTAAACATTGTTCAATCCGCGTCGCATTTTCCAACTGTCAGTCCATTTTATAATCTGCCCACGGTCGTAATTATTCTGTTCGCGATACACAACTGGCAGTAATTAGAAGCTGCATATGTATTACCTTTTGCGTCGGTGATGGTAGTTCCATCACGAGTTTCACGAATAACTCGGCAGACTGCATCGTGAATAATTAATTTGTATGTAACTTGCCGCGCGATGCGAATAATAAAATTTCGAAGTAAGATTAACGCGGGCGCATAATGTTCCATGCATATACATCAGATGTAAGTAATATCGCTCGTTATCGCGCCGCCGTGACTGCAGCGCGCTGGAAATTAACTGATTCGCCTGTCGCTTCTGAGTTTTGCACGGGATTGGGAAAGCGATGTCACCGGAAAATTGCGCGGGACAAAAACGAGTCGGAGTAATCGAAAAAATCCGCTTGCGCGCTTTCTCCGCTGTTCCCGGCGAGAGGACGAACAAAAATCTGCGCACCGCGCTGCAATCGAAGAATTGCGTTACTTTTACAGCGGCGCGGGGATGAAAAACATTGATTGACCATTTCGGCAATTGGCGTGTAATGAGACGGTAATTTCACAAGGCATCGTCGATCGTATACGACAACGTATCTCGGAAAGTACCAAAAAAGGTTTATAACAACACTCACTGAAATACTTGAAAAAAAGCGCATATTTATCGAATATAATACTGACGTAATGAATGTTCTCTCACTTGAATCACTTAAATGTGTACACTTCGAGAGACTACGTAATCAAATTGTGTAATAAATCAAGATTAATCAATAAATATCTCGAATAATGTTCACATTTTCTTTTCAAATTTTAGTTAACCGATTGCGATCAACAAATTTTATTCTGCTTGACATAATTGACGTAATTAAATGCAAATCTGTAATTGTATTGAATTATTTTCCATCGTCAATATTTAAAAAAATAAAAGTTCGAATATTGTGTTTTATTAATACGATTTCATTTATCGCTTGCCACTACTATACAAATCATTTCTCGAATTCGCGAGCATGATTGGCCACTTCAGCCAAAAATTATTGCCAGGCTCATTAATAATCGTGCACAAAATTCATCACTCCGACAAAAGATATTGTTGTTAATCATTCCGTTAAAGCAGATATTTGACGTACAAGCTCATTGATAAATTACAATCCCATTATTGACGCGCATATCACGAGTGCATGCCAGTCGAAAATGCAATGAGTTATCAATAGTCTATATTGCAATAGCCGATATCCTGCTATTCAATCGACACACCTTGACACTTATTTGTTCTCGTGTCTACAATCTCTGCTTTATTACTTAATTTCGTAACCATACAATTTTCTTAATTTTTTTAAAAATCAATAATACTCAATTGCAACGATGAGCTATGAATTTACCAATTACAAGGCAGTGACAAAGTACTTCGTACACCGTGTAATTTTCAAAGAATCATCATCGCTTCCACGACTTGGTCACATCTCTTACTCTGCGGTATCAGAACCAACCGCGGGATTCTACAAACGAATTAATAGTTAGAAGGGAGTTTTTTTCACGCTCGAGGGTTGCTATAAAACAATCCTTTGGTTGCCGAGAGCAGTTCACCGGCGGTTTTCGTAAAGGAAGAAACATGGGCTTTGTAAACCAAAGTCGATGGTGCAGTATTCGATATCGTAAGTTGATACGCCGCGGGCACGGACGGGGCGTATTACCCGGGGCGCTCTGGCGCAACGGAAATTCGTGTTGTACGAGGTCGACCGAAGGTATGCACACGTCGTTTATAATTACGTATTCTCGCGCAACAAAACTGTGGAAGTGTGTTGCATCTTTTGTGAGCGCGTTACGCCGCTGACGTCGCAATAATTGCACGTCCCAGAAAGTATTACTATGGAAACGTTATACAACGCGAGAGTTGCCGCGCGCTGAATAATTTTTAGTTCTATGTAACCGTTAAATAATAATTAAAGCAAGAATATAATATGTCGATGCAATAAATTGTATTAAAATGGCGATTATAAATTCAAGCATTTGAACAATAAATGTATTAAAACTTTATTATAAATGGTAATTGCAATATCGCGCTAACTAAAATAACAGCATTAATGTTCTTCCAGTAATTACCGGCTTTGAACAAAAAATAGCGCTTTTTAGAAAATTTCGCATATTTGAAGATATCCTCGAATAAAAAATCACAAAGTGCTTTTTAACGCCGTAATTAGAAAAATAGTGTGTTCTTAATTAAGGCTATATATCCTTAATTAAAGCTTTCAGTTTTCTTGCTTATAATGCTTGCACAATATGCAATGCTTCCTTTTGAGGTGAATATTACAAAATGGAAGCTTAAAAAACACTATCGTAAAGCGTTTCCTTTAACGAAAAAAAACCACACAATATTATCCATTTTCATAAAATTATTTAGAAAGCGTTATAACATATATTTATTGATCTCTCGCTCTCTGCAGAGATGTCTCACTTTTATTTTTATAAATTAAGTGCATCGAAAATTTAAATAAAAAAATTATACGCTCAAAATAGAAACTGAACATAATAATTTCGAGCAATAATCGAGAAATGCCGACTAAAAATATTATAAAGTCTGGTAAATATATGATAAAGCCGCTAACTTCACCTCGCCAGGAATTTCCTGAATGGTACATTTTATCGCGAAAGAGTCCTGAAGCTCTCTCGCTCTTTGATATCCAATTTGCGGGAAGTGGACGGATATTAACCTTTCATGATCTCGCCCGGGCAAAGAACTACACGTATAACGTGAAGAATAACACGAAGAGGGTTCAGCACTTTTACCTGGCCGCGGGCGAGGACGCGGGCTCCCGGCCCTCGCAACCCGTACGATCGATCCAATTTCAAGTTTCGCCGATCTCATCGACCGAAGGGGCGGACCGCAGCTTCCATAAAACGAATCGCCGGAGCCGCGTCGCGCCGAACAAAGTATCACACAGTCGTGACCGTAAAGTACGAGCGCGGCGTGTTTCGGAGGTCTTTATGTGGACGGTAAAAGCGTCTCGGCGGGTCCGTTCTGTGGGTGCACATATTCCGTGGGCGCGAGAAAATAATGGCCGGGCTTTTTTTCTGACACAATTTTCCATTACACGCCGCAGCGACGGCCGACACGAGGAAAATGAATTCTGTCCCGCGCACACGTGATCACCCTTCGATTAGAGATTTAAGAGATTAACTTTTCCAATTATTCGCGGCCACCGATTTGCCTTTAACAGCGAGCGATACGTCGACGAGCGCGGCGTTGTGTCGGCCGCTTTACATAATGCTTATAAGCTTTCCTTTACGGAAATTGATCGTTCTTAAGATATACATAGAAGATGCAGCAGCGGGTGAGTGTTCTGAAGAATAATTCATAAAAGAAATGTCGAAAAGAAAATTTACACGCAATTATCCTCGCATTTTCTAACAGATTAAAAAAATAACACCTTGAGACATGTGAGTTAATTTTTTGTTTTTGTATTCATTAAAAAACGATTCTTAACATAAATTGATATTTCACACATTGCCACTTATTGCCGTAAAAAATATTAATCTGAAAACTGATACTTTTTTTCTGGCATTACGTAAAGGCATAAAGCAATTTTATTTATCGACACTATTTATCGGTCACTGTAGAACATCGATACAACACCGGTGATCCGCACAACGTTGATCTGGCGCGCAACGCAACTCGATCTCGCGCTCTTAATTAGAATTTCGAAGTAATTGGATACCTGGCCTTGCTCTTAATTAGAACTAGGAAGAAACAGGTCCGTTTCTTGCCCGGTCTTGCGGACTGTTAGCTAGGTACATCCGCCACTTTTCCGGCGCAACTCGGTAAAAACGCGAAGACCCTTCGCGGTCGCTCGTATCCGCGCGCGCCTGTTGAATTTAATTGTAAGTGATACGAAGGGGGGGATGAGAGTTTATTACGCTTTTGCCGGGAAAAGCTCCCTGGCGAAGCCAGCGCGAATGAAATGCGCGGGGGCTTACGAAGCTTCACTATCCCGATACAGCGTACCTGGAAAACGCGCAAATATCTACGTGAACGCAAATTTAATTGAAATGTATAGTCACATGAGTTCCTATTATATTTTCATTTAATGTAAATGCTAGTCTTTCGCTGTGTACGTGGAATATCACATATTTGACAGCGATAAAAATATTGCTCCGATAGAAGTGCCATGAATTATGTAGAATAAATTTTCAATCTCTTACTGCAGCGGAAAAATTAATTAAAAAATTTTAATTAACTATCCGATTTACTAAGTCATTAAATATGCTTCTAAATTTTAGCCTCGCTTATATTCTTATATATTTTAGATATATTCAGATGTGTCCACCGATATTTCGAGACCTATAATGTTACACTTTTATATCAAGATAATAAAAAAAAAAAATTATAAGTTAACGACATCAATTGATGAATCTCATTAAAGCATTGATTTTAATGAACCGTGCGGATATTAATTATTTTTCTTTTGCTGCGAATATTGTGAAAAATATGTGACTGACAGAATAGATATATGATAAAAGATCTCCACATCAAGAGTCCATCAATGTAGAATCATCAGAAAAGATCTTTCTAATTTTCGAGGGAAAAATTTTCTTCTAGAATTCGCTTTACCGCAATCGCGGTAATGTCATTACATCAAAATGAACGGGTCCACCTCGCACGAGTTTCTGCTGACCGAATGCCGCGAGCATTGACCGATCGCTCTCATCAGCACGCCGCAACATGTTTTTATCCAATCACGTACTCGCGCAGCACTCCGACCTCTCGAGTCAGCAGCGCGACGAACCGTTGCGGAGGATCCCGGACTGCCGAAAAGCAGAAGGAAGTGCAAAATTCGCTGCACGGGACGAGAGAGCAGAAAGGGGCTGCGAGCCGAAATTTCGTGTCCGCTCGTTGAACAATCGCAGCAAACGGGATTTGCTCGTTCTATAAGGAGATCGGTTAGCCATTGTGTTACTGACCCGGGGCCCTGCCAATTTTGTTGCCAATTCCGTCGCCAATTTCGCTGCCAATCTCGTCGCCCGCGTTCCTAACGCGGATAATCGCATTGCGCAAACGCTTCGACAATTTCTATTAAGTTCTCTTAGCAGAGACTACGGTTTGTGTGTGTGTGTGTGTGTGTGTATGTATAAGAGTGGGTGTGTGTGTGTGGGTGGGCCTCCGCTGATTGTGAGATGGAAACGTTGAATTTCCTCGAGCGAACTCGCCGGAGCTGACTGGCGAAACAACATTTCCCGGCTTATAATCCTTGCCCTCGGTTTCGACTAACAACTTATCATGGCTGTCATCGATTTAATAACGGAAGAATAACGTCACAAACAAAAAGCTTTTCTTTTTTTGAAATATATTGAGCTGGGCACGAGAAAAATTGATTTCTTCTTCAAACAGTTTTATACTTTTTTAAACGATTTAGAAAAAACAAAAATACAATGAGAAATGCAGATTCGATCAGAATTTAGAGATGGAGATATATTTTTGAATTTCATCGCGTCGTGTCTTTTTATCCCTCTTTCTCTTTCTCTGCTAACATTAATCATGAGGAAGACAATGTTACACAATCGATTGCTTTTTTTTTTTAAATTTGTTTACAAACTTTTCGTACGTCTACGCTCGCGACTAAGTTTTTCTTACATATTTGACGCACGTCGCATATGATTACCATTTTAAATATCATTAACAATTATAAATAGCTACAAATATCATTAACAACTATAAATAGCTTCATAAATATATTTATCTACAAAATTTTTATACATTTAGATATCCTCCGTTAAATCTTTCTTACGTATTCTTGTATGTCTGTTGTATAATTCTATCGTTTTCCAACTTCGCTAAACCAGATTTATGAAGTTGTTTTGACGATTCAATAATATAAATATATTTCGTAAGACTACTTTCTATCATTTAAAAATAATGAGATGGCAGTTATTTTCACTTTTGCCGTTCTATATAAACGCTACTTCGTATCAAGCACAAAACAAACTCTTCTAACGCGTCATTTATATAAGTGACCACAAAGGAATGCGTTTTAATAGGATTACACAACTCAAAGGGACCCGTCGTCTAATTTATCAACGTTTATCATGCGTCACGACGTCTTCCGAGCCAGACGCTTGATCGCAACAATCAGGCGAAGGCTTGTTAACATAGATGACGTTCCTTCAATACTGCTGGCTGCACCGCCGAGGAGTACGATTTTAACTTGAATATATCGCGCTTGCTCGTCAGGCGCAGCAGTTTGAACAAGAACCCACGAGTGCCATACCAGGCCTCCATATCCTCTTTGAAGTTTCGCTGATGTAAAATGGAACGCGTTAATGATTTGGTTCACGCTGCCTTCATATATACATTACTGCTATCTTACCTCTCGCTGCGTTTATCTTAAATTTTTCAACAATTTTCAAGCGACAAAATAGGACGTTCCATAAAAAGGAAAAATTCAATAACAGTAAATGATATTACGTGCAAAAGATAATTTACTTCTACACAAAATGCTCCGTAAATAAGCTGCCAAATTTTGACAGCGTTCTACAAAAGATATTAAATTCCACAAAAAAATGAGAATGCGCGGAATTAAAAGAATATGCAAATAAAGGAAAATGACAGCGAGTTTCAACAGATTGATAAAATTAAACAAGACACGATCTAATTTGCCTTTTACAATAGAAGCGCCGATCCGCATATGAGAATAATTTCATCTAGTTAGCTTAGATAACTAGATAATGTTGCTTCCAAATGTAGATTACAACTAGCGTTATGTAAAACAATGTAAAACACGCGTTCGCGAAAGATGCCGTTTCTGATTGTAGAAATTGTGGTATTTTACGCAAAATTGCAATAATAAAAATATGAAAAAGTCGCGTTCGACTAAAATTATCTCTCGCTTGTGTATTTCAGGTTATTGAAGTGTATCATCGCCGTGATGGCGAACGGATATCCGTATCCGATACCTCACTGTCTTGTATAAAGCCGCCATAATGCTAAACATATTGCTCGTGGCCTCTTACTGTTGAAGCCATTACTAATCCGTTATAAGACCTTGTTACCTATACGTGACTAATTGGAACAGTAAATTAAGATTCACTGCAGCCATATTGAATAAGCTGTCAGAAAAAAGAGCACATTAATTTTAACATACGGTGCAAAAAGAAAAATTTACATAAATTTACGCTTCTGACATTGTTAATCTAATAAGTCTGCATCGCACGATCGAAAACTTTAACTCATAGAAAATAAGAAAACTGCGTGAATATAATAAATAGCATGGAGAAACACGGCAATAAGAGCTGAACTGCAATTGATACTTATAAATTATGGCGATGCTTATAAATTTTACATTTTGTATACATTCAGAAATTAATTTAAAACTTTCGAAAATTACGTAATATTTTTTCGTCCACGTTTGGATTAAACACGTCGTTTAAATGCATCGCCAACCGCGCGATCTGGCTTTTATCATATTAATTGAATTTAAAATAAGTCTTCGCTTATTTCATAAGTAAATATAACATTGATAATCGCGATCATGTGTCGCGTCACTTTCTCATTTGATAATTTCGATATAGATTGAATATCAAATGTCAGTGATAGCGACATGAAAAGTGTCGCGACGGCAAGACTCCCCTTTGCTGCATGACAAATGAAAACCTGCATAAATACCAGCAGATTAAATTATGTAAAGTTACATGGAGGGTGCGCAGGCTAAATGTCGCTAATGCGGCGCATCATTCGCGCACGCCGCCCGAACGCGATACAACGCTTCGCGTACGAATGCGCGTTACAGCGCGCTGCAGCGCGGATCGATACGGTCGTTACTAAAGCAAATGGACGGATTACGAGTTGACTGCGTAAAACAACCTCTTTCTCGGGCAGGCGGGCTGCAACCAGAGGCAGATTGTTGCGAAGCTGATCTGGTCGATGCATCCCGTGGAATCTTGTATGCGAGAGGCACTTGCGGCTATCTTGCGAGTGCGACTGTGCACTCAGGCGAATTGAGGAAGTTTTACATTTGTCGGTTTTAATTTGCAAATACGGGCGGTGCACGCGGTGTGACGCGAGCCGAGCTAATGATCGCGTATTGCCGCACATAATCGAAGCGTCCCTTTGCGTATCCGAACAATTGGACCGCTATGAGGTGTCGAAAGCTTGACTTTATTCGGCACACTGGATATGCCCGGCGCAGCACGCGTTTACTTTGTCTTTCTGACGGCTGCGGAGAGTTATGGACGAGAAGGTTAAATCTCTGATATCAAGCGTATCACGAGTTTGGATTTCATCACGGTGCGCGTTACACGTGCGATGCATTTGTAGTATAAACGTGTGAAGCGAGTGTAACGCCGCAAAATTTTCCAATAATGAAGCCAGACACTCTAAGAATGATAATAACCATTAAACCAATCAAGCCGATAACATTTCATTGCAGTAACTTAATTATTAATAATTATTCGTTTCAGCACGGAGCGAATTTTTATGCAAACAAACTGCGAGATTAAATTGACGGTTTATTTTGTCCGCGGAGAATAGATCGCAGTTTAATAAAATTGCGCTATTCAAATTTTTCTGACATTTGTAGAAATAAACAGTGGAAAAGTTGTGTAATAAATGAAGATTACGATATCCGAGGGAAAAGTTAATTTTCTTCACATCTCGAATGGCCCATCGTCGTATTCAAATATTACCGTCACGCTTCGTACTCCGCTACGATCGCCAATAAAAGCCAACCGTTTCGTGAAAAAGTCTTCCGTGACACAATCGATAGAGCGAAATCGATTGTTACTTCAGCGAAACGGGCATCCACATGCGTCGCGTTCACTATAACGACGGTAGTGCCCAATCTTATGCATAGGAAAGCGATTGGTTCACGCCGTTTTTTGTCACTCACAGGGACCGTTCTATACGTCTATACTAAATAACAGCGGGGAGGGGAAAAGGAGAGCGAAATTCTCTCGGTAAAAATAAACGCCGCGCGCTATATAAACATCCGCCGATATCGACAGGCGTATCATTCGCATTTAGGAATCATTGGAAACATGATCACAAAGGTTCGTATCGATCTCAAAACTCTATTCTTGATTAATCAGCCGATTATTGCGGCTTAACCGTAACGTGATCCATTTATAATTTAATTTCAATTTCACATACATTTAAATGAAACATAAACTTAAATATAAATAATTTGCAAATATTATAGAATATATTATAGAATATTAAATTTCAAGTTGCTCAAAATTCAATATTATTCAACATTTTGTAAGTAATAAAATGTAAAACCTTGAAAAAAAGGAGGCAGGAAGAGTCTTTTTCTGTGTTATAATATTCATTTAGTGCACTTTGGAACATCGACGTAAAGAGTACCTTAATAATTCATATAACCGCTTTTGGCAAAGTAATTTCAATTTTGCGATCCTAATTTACTTACTTAGTTGCATGCAACATACCTACTTAATTATATTGCAACTATTTTCACATATTGCGCTAAACTAAAGGTTTTTCATCAAATCACGGTGACTTATCACAAGCGGACTGCATAATTCATAAAGTAAAGAGCCCTTACTTCTGGCCAGTCGTATGAAAACGGATCTCTTCTCCTTGATATACCAAAATTCGCTCCGCGCTCTGTATACGGGAGTCTATGTAAATGGCAACAATTTGTCGGCAGTTTGTCCTACCATCGGTTGTATTGGCCCTCATGGCAATCCAAAGTGGATTGGCGGGGCACGCTCACAGTTTCGCGCACTTCCACGGCCCGGTCGAAGGGCCCGAGCACGAAGTAACCGTCCACGATAAGCATGGCCATCATGTAGTGGACTACGTCGCGCATCCCAAATACGACTTCGCGTACGGCGTCGAGGACCATCACACTGGCGATTATCACGGACAGAAAGAACACAGAGATGGTAAGTCGAATTCCTCATTTTATACAAAATCGCAGATAAGACGATTTCGATACACACGATTTATAAAACGTAATTTTGGTTTCTAATAAAATTATTTAAGCTACGTTAAAATGATCGCGTTTATATTTTACCGATATTATTCCGTTTTCTGTCTGCGTCAAAAGAGATGCAAGCGCTTGAAGTGCACGCGTTACGATTATATTTCAGACGTGTCTGAACGAAAAATTAAACTTCGTACATTATTCAAAATTTTTGTAAGCATGTAAAGAGTTGTTGAATTTTTTTTTTACGATGTTTGCGCGGAGCACGCGGCATGTTTGAATGTTGGTAAAGTTTTGGAAAATTTCGATGAAAGTTTGTCTGGCGGATCTCCGCGCGAGATATTCGGAGGAGCGTGGCTCTGAATCGCAATAAGCGCGGCGGGGAAAGCCGCGTTTAAACCTGTCTGCGCATTTTCCTCTTTTTCGTCGCCCGCCGCGTTTTTGCATTTAACGATGTCCGATGGCGCGGGTGCCGTAGTTAAAGGTTATAAATGATGGGGTCAGATTACACGGAGGTACGCTTTAGCGCGCGCGCGCGCGCTCCATTTTAATTAAACATCGCGACGGTAGTCATATTGACGTAACATAATATGTGGGCGGCACCTGCATTATCGGTAATATCGATGACACACCCGCGTATCTAATTCTCAACAATTAATGCGCCGTTTGCGAGCAACGCTCGCCGCGAGTAACGATCGCGCTTCACTCTAGCAACGCCGCCGCTCGTTTTTTTTTCGTTCGCAGGAAAAAAGGTCGTCGGCGAGTACACCGTGAAAGAACCGGGCGGCAACACCAGGACCGTCACTTACCACGCCGATCCACACGGTGGATTTTTTGCACATGTCCACAATTCCGGCGGCAATAACCATCATGGCGGTACGTACGGCGGTCACGAACACGGGCATTACTGAGGACGTCAGGAAACCCCAAATGTGATGTGCGGCGTTAAAGCGCTTATAAGGTCGCATCCTTGTTCCGTTATGATTGTTGAATAAATATTTGCTGTTTTTGAATTCGCGGCGTGAACTTTTCCTGATTTCGATAACCGAGACTTTTCTACATACATTTTATAAATAGCAGAAACGCGCGCACTCACGGTGCGGCTATTAGTATTTTCCGTCGCGGACGTTATTGCGACTTCGCCTGTGTAATCAAAAGCGTTATTACTTACGGAATCGCAACGGCAATTCGGAAGTGCAGGCAGAACAAATAAATGGACAGATTGCGTGTATATAGGTCTGGCTCAATGAACGAGGTGTTCTAAGCTTCGGCGAACATATTGGGTCACGTATTGAAGCCACTGTGATCGCTATCGCGCGAATAGACTAGCAGAGATTGAATTGCACTTGCGGTGGCCAGACGCCGCATTGAATAGCGTGTTTTCCATTATTGCATTAAAAGGTACACACTAAAGGAATAATTTAAAAGACTGGAAATAATTTTAAAGCTCTGTACAAGCTGTTAACCCGAGGCACGGTTTCATGCTGAAGAAAATGTCCCACTGTTTACATTAAATTAGCGTTCAAAGACGGAAACTTTGTGAATGAAAACAGTTTACCTTGCGCTTTAATCTATATTCGTATGTTTCACGTAAATCTTTAATGATTTGCGAATCTCTCTGCCAACAATTTTCTTCGTGCAAATATCTCGCAATTATTTTTGATATGTGTTTAAATCTGCAAATAACGGATCAGCGTTGGAGAAAATAGTTTGAAGAGGATCAGTCACAAAATATAACAAGTCTAAATAGCGAAATAAAATAGCGCTAATTATAATGACACAGGCATACCCGAGAAGTAATTATCGCAGTTCGTTCGGCTGAAGCTCCGATTAAAAGGGTGAAATTAAGACAGCGCTCTTTGAACTAGAAGAAATATTGCGCCGAGAAAGAGAGAGCGTCGCGTCTCGCAGCTGAAGCGAGCTATGCTTAAATGTCGAGAAAGCTATCACGGAACGTAGCTGCTCGGCGTTACAGAGAGCGCATTAATTTTTCAAGGCGCATCAGCGATGCGAATAGAAATTAACCTTGTACATGCGCCATCGGCTTTCAAAGGCAAGTATTTCACATCAAGCGCGTAAATGTATAGAAGGCCTCTCTGCGAAATGTCTAAGACGAGTCGACGTCTGTTCGTAAGAGTTCTTTTGAGAACGTAGTTGGGATAATTTTTTATTTTTTTAGTTTTTTAGTTACACAATATTAAAATTTCATTTAAACGCTATTGCAAAAAAGGATTCCGAATAAGCAGCATAGGCATCCGTTGTTAAATGTAATGATATGGAAATGAATACCGGGAATGTAATCACTATAAATATACTAGACCGCGCAATTCGATACTTTCGGCCGAGCAATTCCAGCAACTCTGCTCGTAATTCAGCGCAAAAATCCGTCCTGGGATAAATCACCACGAACGCGGCGGCGTACTCGACCCCTGTATATTACGCGAATAATGATGATTGATCATACGAGAGGAAGAAAACCGCGGGCGATGATATATGAACAGCGAAACGTACGGCGCGCACGTGGTTTCAATGATTCCATTTATGTGAACGATAATGCAGCAGGTCTTCTCCCTGCATCGAGGCCCTCTTGTTCTTTCTCCTTTTCCGTTTTGTTTTCCTTTTCTTTTCTTTTTTTCTTTTTACAATCCGCTACCACGCGCTCATGAGCGCGGTTACAAAAGGGCTGCTTTTGGTTCGCCCTTACTTGCGGAAGTGATAAATGAAATTTCGCGCGCTTCCATCCGCCGTGGAAAAACAGACAATTCCAAAACTACTTCTTCTCTAACTCTGTGAGGAGGGTAATTTTATCGGCGTGTGTTATTCCGGTCACCACCGTCGCGCTCTTTCTACACTTCCGATTCCCTCAGTCATTCCTCGACGCTGTCCTGCGGACGCCGACTAATCTACAGAACTAAATAGCATTGTCCGGTTCTTGCTTAGAAGGGGCCAAAGTGTCAGCAGGAATCACTCAGGACAAAGGAACATCCGAATTGGCGATTTCAAAAATAGATAAGATTGCTTTTGATTTCGGCGACAAATTGGCGACAAATTGGCGACGACAACAGATATCAGAAAATTATCCTCCACACATAATGTTTAAAGTTGAGTGTTTGTTACGCCTTTGCGATTAATGATTAATTTGTAACAATAACAAGCATTAAGACGATAGTTATTTTAAAGCAGACATTTCACGGTTTACCGAGAGAAAGAGAAAGGAATTTTAAACTATCTTGATGGCTATCAATCGCGTGTCACATAAATTCGGTATAAATTTGTATGTCGGAAATTCATTAAAATGTGTGTTTTACACGATTTATTTCATCAAAATCGTTGTTTGAGAAGAATGTTAACAAAGCGACCATATTCCGACCATTTGTGGTCATTTCATTTCGCGGATATTTATGTGTAATTTTAATTCGTCTATTTATTAACTTTTAAACGCGCGTTACAATAGTAAAACACTCTAAAGATATATTTTGATGGAAAGTGCGGAAAATGCTTGCAATCGGACAGAAATAATGATTATTCGAGACAGTATTAACGCCCACAAAATAAAGATGCAAAAGATATGATAATAGTCTATTTATTGAGATTAAAATTTAAAATGTAAAATAAAAATATATTTTTTTTTTATACTACATTAAATATTTTATAGCATGTTAAATAAATATTTTGATATTGATTGAGATATTATCGTTACCGTTTTTTGTTTGTACTTTTTTTTTTTTTTATCTGTATGTTGTTATTATCTTGCTATCTTGTTGAATATAGCGACTGAAACAGAACAGACGGTAAGGCCGCTCCGTCACATCGTTATCTTTAAAACTGTACAATTGCGATAAATGTTAAAAAATTATCTTTCACAAATAACTACTAATCCATTATTATAATATTTTCATAATATTTTTTATATGCAAAAAACGCTGAAAGCTTGCAGAAGTAGTTTAGGCGTAGCATAGCTGCGGCGGATGACGCGTAAAATTGATCGCTCAATTTTTAGTTTCTCTCATAGATCCATTGCCTCAAAATAGACGGATCGGAACACAAATCAGTGTTCTTGAGTGATTTTACAAAATCTTTAATTCAGCCGTGAGCCGTGGCATCGTGGCCTGTCAAGCGTAACCACATTCAGACGTCGTCACGTGAGGGGGGCAAATTGTCGGAAACAGCCGGCGGCAATAATGCGAGATGGACGTGATAGGGTGCGATCGATTTTCTCGATCTCGGGGGAAATAGAGTCCTTATTATTCCGACGGGTAAGGCGCTCCCACGATGGCATTGTTATTCGATTCCAGGCGGCGCGGCTCATTCCCTCCGCAGCGGCTGCACAGTCACCCTCCACCCTTTTCCCTTATATTTCCTTAGCCTACTTCATGCCCGCAAAAATCCAATTCATCCCGAGACGCTGGACAAGAATATTCCGAAAACGTCATCGTCGCGCGGACGCCCGCACGGCATAACAAACCGTTGCACGTAGAATTCGAGTTATTCCCAAAAGAAATCCGGCGATCGAAAATCATCGCCGTCAAAAGGAATCCTACAAATTCGCCACGCTATACACAATCCAATGCAGGCTACTCAACAAATCATGGCACAACCGGCGATGAAAGGCTCTTTTGTGAAGAAATAATTAAACGGTAAGGAATAAAGTTTTTTTACTTGTGCACTTCCCGAGAAAAATAAACAAAAATAATAATTTCTATTTAAATTTCTCTAATTAGATCATTTCTTTTGTCTCTTTCTTTCACACGATAAAAGAACATAAATAGGTTTTTGTCTTCAAAATTTGTTTAAGTTGCGTTAAGTCAGCGTAATTAATAAATATACAGGGTGTTTCATAATGTCCGTGCCAGCGCTCGTGTGCGGGTAGAATGCGGTAAAAAATAACAACATGTATTACTCTTGCTCTTGCCATGCGTTGTTATTTTTCGTTGCTGTGCGATCCTCGTTGCTGTCACGCCTAAAGTGTACAGCCCATAATCTAGCCACGTGCAACGCGCAATTATTCGTCAATCCTTTTTAATTAATATCTCAATTATTATTGCAAAAATTGCAAAACAATAAAGGACTTTTCTATTCAGTTTACCGCACTCTACCCGCACACGAGTGTTGGCACGGACATTATAAAACACCCTGTATAGTATCATTTCATAGATTTTTTTACAAGAAATATTTCGTCGCCATTATGTTATAAAATGTCGCATTGAATCAGCGCTCAAATCATGTATCTAATGCGATTTCTTATCGCATATAACTATTTGGTCAAGATGTAACATGGTAGAACATTTTAGAAATGGCTTTCAAAAATTATGAAAGAACCGTTGCAATATCGATAAACTTTGATACATCAAAAAATAAAAATGTGAAACTTCAAACGTGATTTCTATATCGTTATTCTATATTGACATGTTAAAATAACAACATTAGCTCGTGATAACGTCAATCACGACGAGACGCGTGATCCTATCTCAGCCAATCATAGTTCATGTTGTGTCAAGCAAAATAAACATTTATTTTCGTACACATATATTTAAGAACTCTCTGCTACCACAGTGTAGTACAGTGTATTTCAACGACTCACTGACTGATCGTCTACGCGCTTCAACACAAGAGTATTCATCGTGCGACATGTTCACTGTAATTGTCGTAAGTCGTTACAAGCTTTTTATAAAATTTTATCGGCCCCTCGCTGGCCCTACTTTTCTCGTTGCTACTCTTCTCCATTCAACAGACACAATTTACTACGCGAATTCTACGTTTTTATATAATAAATATATTACAAAATTGATCATATTGCAAATACAGCTTTTTTCGTACGTGCAATAAACAATTACTGATATCAAACGAAAGTGTGTGCTGTAATCTGTGTAAAATGTTGTAGTGACTGTTTCTTAATGTATTTCGCTCGCGCATCACCTATTTGTGAGTAAAATTTGTACGCTAAAAGTAGAAAAATCGTACTGATTCACGTACAAAGCCTCATTAACAAGTTTCAATTTGTCTGCCTGTCTTATCATTGACGCAAAGCAGAGCCGTTATCGTGCTTCAAATCACCGTCATTCAGAAGTATACGGCCGGTCGACAGCCGGGGGAAGAGTTTCACGGTTCGCTGGTTTAAAGTGCTCTCACAAAAAGACCATTATAAATTCCATTAATACTTGCCGGGCATTCGGGCCAAGCCGGGAGTTTAATTATCCCGTGGGCAGGCTCCTCCGTCCGCACCGCTAAGTAACGGGAGGAGGTACACTGAATTAACTAAGACTCGACAGAACAATCTTCAAGAATTAACAGGTCAGCTCGCGATGGAAGCTATTCTTCAATTTACAACATATATATTATTGTTTACGAGTGACAAGTCGGGCATGATTTTCCACCAATTTCGCAATAGTACACTCAAACAAATATTTCGCTGATGTAGTTAGATTTCTAGATATCGCAACAAAAATGTATCGCTATTTTTCGTATCTGTGAAAACATTGTTTGTCACATACAGAATTTATAGCAGTAATGTTCTAGCAATAGCTTCTGAAAAATTTAGGTACCATTGCTAAATGTTATTCATTGCATGATCTAACACGTAATTGATCTTATATAGATAGCCGCTTTAGAGAAACTTTCTTTTTAAAGTTCACAAACAATACAGATATATATTCTGTTTCTGTCATCTAAACTGATTAAGTAATTACATATGCAATATCACAACAGTTGCTAATCATTTATCTGTTTTAGTTAATTTTTTACACCTAGAAAATTTTAGCTATTATTGCAAGATTATTTTTTTAAGTGTAAAGTTAATATTTAATGCTACATAACGTAATCTGCAGCATTTATTATGTAAAATTTATTCGCGTAATTTCGGTTGTACGCTTATCGAGTGTGTTACGAAAAATTCTTTATGTTTCTCTGCTCAGATTTTGTAATAATTTAATGATGCAGCAAATTGGAAATTAATAATTATTATTATTAATAAACAAATGTGTACATGTAATAAATATATTTATGTGATTTGTGCAAACTTTATGTAATTAACTTTCAATCATATTTTGATTTAAATTTGTTTCAATTTTTCTTCTTTATGTTCTGCAAATTTCATATTTATCTTTTCACATTGTTAATATTCGATATAATAAATTTTCGATATTACGTTGCGTAATATAATCACTCGCAGGCAGATCGTGATATTTAATAAGCAAGTTTGAAACAGTTGGAATAACAAATACAAATCACACAAGCTAACAATGTCAAACGCGCTAGTAACATGCTTGTAGCAAATGACAGCATAGAAACACGTTACAAGTAAAGAAAGGCTTCGAGTTTCGTCGTGTCGGAAGTTCGTGAGAGCCGCGTATTTCCTATTCGCTAATCCAAGGAGTTTGCTCTACGGACGGTACGCCGAAGCCGAAGCGAACGCGCTGTGCAAATATGTTTATAGAGTAAAAAGTCTTTTTACTTTACGACGGCGCGCTGGCAAGGTAACGATTTTCTTCGGGCCGTGGATACACTTTGTTTTCTTAGGATGCAGCCTGATCAGAACAAAAGTTCCGAACTACATACTTCATTGTAAAGTTTCCGGTTGGTATAACGATCGGTTAGCAAGGCCAGAACTCTCTTTTATTACAGGATTTGTGTAACGAAAAGTAGGGTGTTGTGTCAGCGAAAACTCGCAGCCGCAAAGAGTTTCCCTGTACATATATTTTCTGTCAAATCATATTTCGCGCAATCGCATTTCAATGCAATCCTATTCTAATGGATAAGATTGATATTTTTCGATAGATCCTGGATATAAATCTAGACTCACTAGATGAAACCATACATTTAATTATTTAATTAAAAACTCAAGCGCAAAAATTTTGAAACACAGGAAATGTATGATTTATATTTCGCTGAAATTGAAAAACTTTTCATTAATTAAGCTAAAAACTGAACTAAATACATATATAAAAATATCTTTTCTCATTTAATATAAAATGAGAATTTTTTTAAAGGATTTGTTGTGTAAAGATATATACGGTTGGTCAGACAGTTTGTATAAAATTGAATAAGAAAGAGCGTAACAAACAATAGCGCATTCGATTTCGTTGAAGAAAAAACGAATGCGAATACAACGCAATCAAGCAATTTATATACAAAAAAGGATGCAGTGAACTCTATGTGTATAGAAACACTTAGTCTTTCACGTTTGTTCTGAACAAGTGAACAAAGTTCTCTCGAAAGAGCGTTTTATGAGACTAGTCCTTTGAGAGGCTCGATCGCAATGGCGTACCATTATCGACATGCTTCAAAGGCCAATCGAGACTTTGGCTTATCGCCTATTACCAGCCTAACTCGTTTCCATTTAACTTCCGCAACACGGTTGCCTCCTCTTTCGGTGATTTTGACGATTCACAAACTCTAGTCGCATTATAAATGTATTCGGAAAGAAATTCAAGAAAATTTTATTTAATTAATACGTTTTGTTATTGTCTCTTTGAAAAACGTAAAAATTTTTATACAAACATAATTATTCGAGTTTTATAATTATCAAAATTCAATTATTAATTTCTATATGCGAGTAACCGAATATATATCAAATGCAGCCACCAAATATAATTATTTTTATTAAATTAACCATCAGATAAAAAAATTGAATGTATTGTCACGTACACAAAGTAGCAATGAGATACTTTTTAGATAAAAATGTTATTAAAAAATTTTTATTAAAAAATTTAATTTCAAGAAAAAAAAAAATATCAAAAGCATGCAATGAAACTATAATGTTTATCAAAAAAGTCGATGTAGCTCGAAGCAACCATTTTCACCAACTAAAACTTTACATATGCTATGTAGATGAGAAGATAAAGAAATGATATTAATATCACAATGTGAAAATCATTCAAGGAAATCTAAAATTTAACAAACTAGTATTTCGTAAAATAAAATGTTACGAACTTAAAATTATTTTATCGGGATGTGTCAATTTTTTTGTTAAACAATGTACGAAGTAGAAAGCTAAATAACAAAGTTCACAGACTGCTTGTTACCAGTAAAGGATTAATTTTCCCACTCTATTTCCGGCTCGAAGAAAGTATACGAATGCCGGAATGTAGATTGTGTATTCTTTTAAATCCAATCGAAGATTCTGTTTATGCTGTGATTACATTCTCGCGTGCGTACCCCGTCGCTCTTTCATCCAACCGAAACGACTCCCGGTATCGAATGACGTTTCAATTACCGCATTCGCGTACCCGGCGGCGTCAAGAGAACAAAAAGCAGAATCGCTAGAGTACGGGCGGGGCTTCATAAATCCCACAGCGCCGTCTCATTGCAGAGCTCGCTCGCGAGTAACAGCGTACATTTCCGCTCGCAACTCCCAACGCGAAAAGAACGGATTAAATCCGGTCGGATGTTTGGCAGCGCAACCCGTCGCGAGCGTACGTCGCCCCCGCGCTCTCATCCTCATAAAACACTTTTATCCAATATGTATCCAAGATTTCCATAAATTCGCGCATAGTTCTCCGGCGCGTAAAGCATCGTACTCGGAGAGCGGCGGAAATGCGCCATGGAAATATCCCGAAGTAACCATTCCGGAGGGGGGGAATTCGACATCGCGCATGGCCGACAACGCGGAGTTCTGATGAATTTGTTTTTGCGACTCCCTTCTTTCGTGCGACAAAGAACCTGCTTCCTTCTCCACGACGCGACCATGGTTCGTTTATCCGGAAACGGTGGATCGCTCAGGGGCCGACGTTACTTATGAACCCTTTTCTCTCCGACCGAAGAGAAGAATGGCCGATCCTCTCGACGACGCGTGCGGTCGGCCGTGGTGAAACTTTCGGAGATTCGAAATAAAAGAGCCAGCGGAGTGATGGACAAAGGACCGCGGACGGATTATTGCGGAAATGTTAAGAAAAACAACCGTGCCTTTGAACAAAAGTGATATTTGTTTCTAGCGCAAATACAAAGCAACGTCGCGTTTGACGAGCTCCCCGCCGCCCATAATGATTCATTTTTATCTCGTGAAGAACTTATTTATGCCTGCAATATCGTTAAATAAGTAATATAATAACGCACAGGTGGTTTTTAATCGTGAAAAACTCACATGCCTTTCGCTTTAACCTTTTTATACTAGAGATGCTTTTGTTTTTATCCTTAAAAGCCTTGTGAAAAAGACTCATCATGCCTTGCTTTCTCATTATTTAGCGTCTTGATACATCGTGTTATTAAAAGTAAAATTTATCAAGATTAAGAATAATTAAAGATTAAAATGCTTACGTAAATTGGAACGCGGTAGTAGTATATCAAAGGCATTGTGTTGCTTTTCGTAGTTGACGTGAATCGGTTGTGCTGACTTGGGCAAGACTGACTTTTTCGTTCCGTTACAAATGACTCTTTGACTTAACAGGCTACCGACATCGCTGGAACGAAGAAGCAAATCTTAGCTATGAGATGCATTGAAAACCCGACTCTGTTAGATATATTTGCGGAAGCCAGTCAGTGAAAGAAGCGTTCGCCAGTCGCGAATAAAGGCAAGATGGAGTGCACAATGATGTTGGAGAACGGGCTGCTGTAGAAAAGGCGGACAACGGTAAAGAAATGCGAACAGAGATGCAAGGAAGATCTTCTTTTTCGCGTGACATCGCCGAAGTGTTTGGCGTCTTCGTAAAGCA